GACAGTGCATACAGGCAGCAGCAGTACAGGCCGAAAATGTGATGCGGCCGAAATGTGTTTTAGCCCTGGGAGGCCGAAATTTGAATGGGCCAAACATTTGTGAACTTTAATTATTATTATTATTATTATTAGTTGCTTGTTCGCGCTGCCATAAAAAAAAGCTCATCCTAAGCGAGAGGGCTAGAGGAAAAGATAACGATATCGAGATACAGAATCCAAAGAAATCCAATGAGTTAAACAAAGTTCAAAACATGAAAAAGAAAAGAAAAGAAAAAGAAAAGATAAAACCTTACAGTAGAGAAACATAACCAAACGCAGGTTAAAAAAAATGTGAATTAAGACCCTCTGCAGACGACCGTATTTTCTCTAAGTAAGAGCCCGGGGTTCTTGTTATTTCAATGCCAGCTCAACCTGCCCTACTAACGTTATTAGAGACTGCGCTGGTAGAGAGGTTTTGCAGAGCGAACGTTCTCAATGATTTTCGCGTTCCTGGTTGCGAACATTATTGCGAACGTTCGCTCGAATTTTTTGTTTTGCATGATTTTCCTTCCTAGAGATTTTCGTTCCTACATGAAGAGCTAGCGCACGCGCGTATTTGAACCGACGTTACGTTGTGTGGATCGGATCAAGGAGTGTATTTGTTGCGAGATGGGAACGATGGATGGAGATCTAAGTGGTGAAGAGAAAGGTGCAGTGCTCTGCAGTCTTTTCTTACTGCAGGGCAGCTGACAAGTGAAATCCGACCCACCTGAGCGGTGCGCTCACATCGCAAAGACCCCCGGCATGGGATTGTAACACTACGAAATAGAGGCTGCTAGAAAGTGAACGCACCACCGCTCAGGGGGTCGACTTTCAGTTGCCACCGGTTTAGTTCATGACGAGGGAGACTGGGATGACGAGGAGTTGCTGGTGCTGGTCGCTTGTCTTGATTTGTGTGCCGCTCGGGGTCTCTCTGTTGGGCACCAGGAAAGTGGTGATCGCTTAGACTTCAGTTTGCTGGATGATGGCGTTTGTCTGCGCCAATTTCGTTTTACCCTATGAATGCATTGTCTGAAGAAGATTTACAGTTGCTGTGTGAGGTCGACTTATTTCATCTTCTCCATCATCACCTTCATCATGGCCAGCATTGCCTCCTCCTTGCGCGACTCCGCGTTTGGCTTGCGCTCGTCTTCCGCTTTCTTTGCTTCCACGTCAAGCTTGTGCATTGCTTGTTTAGCTTGAAGCTCCTCCCTCTTGAACGCCAACTGTTCGTTTTCTAATGCCAACCGTTCATTCTGTACGCTCTTTTCATGTTTACTTTTCTCCTTTAAGTAATCCACCACCTGTGCCATGAGAGGGGCAGCTCCGCTTGGCCTGCGCTTTGCCAGTGGCTCCAACTCATCCTTGCTTGTTGGTGTTCTGCGGGGTGGGTCAGCCACCCTGCTTGGTGTGGCAGGAGTGGCTTGTGCGATGGTGGTGTTGGTCACAGTGGTTGCAGGTATGTGGCGCCTTTGTTGCACAGCGTCCTGCGTGCGTTGTCGCGCAGCTGTAGCGCCACAGCACGACTGCTTGCTGCTGCGGCAGCCTCTCGTTCCTGAGCCATGGCTCGCTCCGAATATAGTTGGGTGACCTCAGTCAGGAGAATTTGCTTTTCCCCATACTCTTCTGCTGAGCCAGTTCTGGAAGATCGGGATATACAACAAAAACCCAACATGGTAACACATTCACAGCGGTTCAGTAGCTTCATCAGACCATCCCTGATGCCCTTCTTAATTATCCCTCCTAGTCTACCTGCATCCTGGCTGGATAGCTCCCCCCGATACGTTCTCCACGGCAGGAGAGAGCCACGGACAAATGGATTCGGATGCGCCATGATCTGGCGCAACGAAACCACGTCCATTTGTAAATCGAAAAGAACTCCAGTGCCAGTAGCAGACTGTGAGGACCTACAGCTATCAGCAGATGGTGTAGGCGGAGATGAAGTAGAACCGGCCTCCATATCGGAAATAGAGCAGACTGAGCGAACGGTAACGGATTGTGAAAGAAAAAAGCAATTGGTTCACCACTTCCGCGATCCACGAAACCTCCTGAGAACAGCGAAAGTTTGGTTCGCGTTTAGTTCAATTTTCGCGCTCAACGTGCTGAACGTTCGCGTGAAGTTTCTTTTTTCGTGACGTCAAACAAAAATTCTCGCGAACGTTTGCTCTGCAAAACCTCTCTGGTATTGGAGACTGTGTTTTATTTCTTCAATGCTCCACTATCAAGCCAACTCTAGTCTATAATTATAGGCATAAACTGACGATATTAAGACTGATTTTCTCAACCCCAAACTCAGGAATCTTGTCAAACCTGATGTTTCACAATAACGTGGGCACCAGGAAGGAAATATTAGACTGAAAACCTCCTTTTAAATATGTGCTTGGCATGCTGTACTGCTGTTTTGTATGGAGTCATTATATGCGTTGCATACTCCAATTGTGGCCCGCGCTACTATTAGAGACTGTGCTCTTATTATTTCAAACAACCCTCACCCCGGGTCATTATTGGAGACTGGGCTATTGTTGGAGCTGTTCTATGCACATTGCACATGCCTTATTTCTTCGTTTCCTCCGGATGGCAGTCGTGAGTCAGTCAAGTGTCAAGTTCGGCAAGAAGCGTGTGTTCCTCGTTGGAACGACCAACTTCATGACTGGGCTTTTTTATTAGAGAAAATACGGCATGTACATAGAACATGCAGTACAAAATTACGTCAAAGCTGATAGAACCTAAAGGGCAACTTTTTCCCAAGCCTGCATTCAGGCCACATGATGCATGCAACATACGTCCGACCTTTGACCTTGCGCAGTTATGTGCAGTGGATGCGTGAAAGCAGGGAGTCGTACAATGCGAAGTTTGTGCGTTTGTACAACTGCCTGGTGAAAGCAGGGAGTCGTACAATGCGAAGTTTGTGCGTTTGTACAACTGCCTGGTGAAAGCAGGGAGTCGTACAATGCAAAGTTTGTGCGTTTGTACAACTGCCTGGTGAAAGCAGGGAGTCGTACAATGCGAAGTTTGTGCGTTTGTACAACTGCCTGGTGAAAGCAGAGAGTCGTACAATGCGAAGTTTGTGCGTTTGTACAACTGCCTGGTGAAAGCAGGGAGTCGTACAATGCAAAGTTTGTGCGTTTGTACAACTGCCTGGTGAAAGCAGGGAGTCGTACAATGCGAAGTTTGTGTGTTTGTACAACTGCCTGGTGAAAGCAGGGAGTCGTACAATGCGAAGTTTGTGCGTTTGTACAACTGCCTGGTGAAAGCAGGGAGTCGTACAATGCGAAGTTTGTGCGTTTGTACAACTGCCTGGTGAAAGCAGGGAGTCGTACAATGCAAAGTTTGTGCGTTTGTACAACTGCCTGGTGAAAGCAGGGAGTCGTACAATGCGAAGTTTGTGCGTTTGTACAACTGCCTGGTGAAAGCAGGGAGTCGTACAATGCAAAGTTTGTGCGTTTGTACAACTGCCTGGTGAAAGCAGGGAGTCGTACAATGCAAAGTTTGTGCCTTTGTACAACTGCCTGGTGAAAGCAGGGAGTCGTACAATGCGAAGTTTGTGCGTTTGTACAACTGCCTGGTGAAAGCAGGGAGTCGTACAATGCGAAGTTTGTGCGTTTGTACAACTGCCTGGTGAAAGCAGGGAGTCGTACAATGCAAAGTTTGTGCGTTTGTACAACTGCCTGGTGAAAGCAGGGAGTCGTACAATGCGAAGTTTGTGTGTTTGTACAACTGCCTGGTGAAAGCAGGGAGTCGTACAATGCGAAGTTTGTGCGTTTGTACAACTGCCTGGTGAAAGCAGGGAGTCGTACAATGCGAAGTTTGTGCGTTTGTACAACTGCCTGGTGAAAGCAGGGAGTCGTACAATGCAAAGTTTGTGCGTTTGTACAACTGCCTGGTGAAAGCAGGGAGTCGTACAATGCGAAGTTTGTGCGTTTGTACAACTGCCTGGTGAAAGCAGGGAGTCGTACAATGCAAAGTTTGTGCGTTTGTACAACTGCCTGGTGAAAGCAGGGAGTCGTACAATGCAAAGTTTGTGCCTTTGTACAACTGCCTGGTGAAAGCAGGGAGTCGTACAATGCGAAGTTTGTGCGTTTGTACAACTGCCTGGTGAAAGCAGGGAGTCGTACAATGCGAAGTTTGTGCGTTTGTACAACTGCCTGGTGAAAGCAGGGAGTCGTACAATGCGAAGTTTGTGCGTTTGTACAACTGCCTGGTGAAAGCAGGGAGTCGTACAATGCGAAGTTTGTGCGTTTGTACAACTGCCTGGTGAAAGCAGGGAGTCGTACAATGCGAAGTTTGTGCGTTTGTACAACTGCCTGGTGAAAGTACCATTACTAGTATTAGCTGATTTAAAGTTCTCAACTTAGCACTGAAGAACGCGGATCATCTGCAGCACTTCAGAATGCTTGGTGGCGATCGCAAGCAGTGGTGTGAAATGGGCAGACGGATTTGGGACACCGGATAGATCAACATTATTAACAGAACAACGGCGCTTAGCATTTGTAAACTCACAATTCGCTTGTGCCGTTGACTCGCAGGGATTGCTCTCTTTTTCTCCAAATGTGTTTTTGTACTGGCTGCTTTCTGTTCAACTGAAGGTTGCATTGTTGTTGTGTTGTTGTGACTCTCCCGTCCCAGGTTGCAGTCCATTCGATCGCGGCGGTCCCATTGCCAATCTCACACACTTCCTCTTCCCGCCGTCGGCCGATAGTATCGAGTGCCTGGACAATAGCGACACGGAGCAATGGTGGCGAGCGTTTGGCCGCCGCACACACCGCCTTCTGGCAAGGAACTCTGCTGCTGCAGGGCTGCGCGCGCCAGCTGCGTCGGATTATGATCTGGTGTGACGGCGGCGCTAAAGGACTCTCTCAACATGCTGGATGATGTCATTGGTGCACTGCATAGTGCAGGCTGGATGATGTCATTGATATACTGCATAATACAGGTTGGATGATGTCATTGGTGCACTGCATTACATGGCAATGCCATGGCCTACCATGTGCCGCCAGTCGATATTCTGGCCCGCTTTTGCCATTGCTCCACCTCGACTTAAGCAACAGCAGCAGCAGCAACAACAACAGCAACAGCAGCAACAACAACAGCAACAGCAGCAACAACAGCAGCAGCAACAGCAACAACAACCGCAGAAACAGCAGCAGCAGTAGTGGCAGCAGTGGCAACAATTATCTTGGTGACCAGTACAGATCCACTTGTGCTTGGAATAATGACATCATCATCCTCTACAGGTTATGCAACAATGTCGTGCATGCACTTGTCTGTAGCGACATCATCATCCTCTGCAGGTTGTGCAACAATGTCGTGCATGCACTTGTCTGTAGCGACATCATCATCCTCTACAGGTTGTGCAACGATGTCGTGCACTTGTCTGTAGCGACATCATCACCGCTGTCATCTTCCCGCCATCATTGTTGTCATGACCATTATCTCCTTGCGGATACATTGACGGATGTCTGTTCCAGCGTCAGCATAGAGCCCCGTTCATCAAGGGCGAGGTCTTTCCGGCAAGATGGACGAATATCTCGGATCAGGCTCGACTTGATGAGAACGCCAGAGACTTCTGGATGCGTTAGCAAGAGGCAGTTTGGCGCGTTAGCAAGAGGCAGTTTGACGCGTTGGCAAGAGGCAGTTTGACACGTTGGCAAGAAGCAGGTTGACGCGTGGGCAAGAGGCAGTTTGACGCGTTGGTAAGAAGCAGTTTGATGCGGTGGCAAGAGGCAGTTTGATGCGGTGGCAAGAGGCAGTTTGACGCGGTGGCAAGAGGCAGTTTGACGCACTGGCAAGAGGCAGTTTGACACGTCGGCAAGAGACTGTTTGCGCGTGGGCAAGAGGCATTTTGACGTAGGGGTATTTTATCCTAATGCTTCTTCCTATGCCTCCAAATTCCTCGGTGAACTTTTCCACCAGTGTGAAGGGTGCCAAACGTTTACGGAGAAAGAATTATCATAATTGAACATGCTGCCACTGCACCAGTAGTAATGCTAGTCTCCATAAACGGAGTAACAGCGTTCCGGGACGGGTACCTCTGCGTTCGGCTTCCAGGTTGACTGGGCGCAGTTACAGCTATTCAGCGAGACCGGTGTGCTATTGTTGTCGGTTGTCATTTGCGTTGTTTCGGTCTGCCGTGTTGTGTGGTACGGGGGCTTGTTTCGCCGCCCGTCATCGTGCAATGCACGCGTGTCTTGAATCTGTTGATGGTATGACTCGCGCGCGTGTCTTGAATCTGTTGATGGTACGACTCGCGCACGTGTCTTGAATCTGTTGATGGTACGACTCGCGCACGTGTCTTGAATCTGTTGATGGTATGACTCGCGCGTGTCTTGAATCTGTTGATGGTACGCCTCAAGGCGTGTGTCTTGAATCTGTTAATGGTACGACTCAAGGCGTGTGTCTTGAATCTGTTAATGGTACGACTCAAGGCGTGTGTCTTGAATCTGTTCATGGTACGACTCAAGGCGTGTGTCTTGAATCTGTTGATGGTACGACTCGTGTGTGTCTTGAATCTGTTGATGGTACGCCTCAAGGCGAGTGTGTTGCTCCAGTACACGTACCGGTATACGTGAAAAAGGATTTCTGTCCATTGCTTGGGGGTCGTCCACAAATATCACTATTATTCTAGAGAAGATATTGTTTCGAGGAGGGGGCCTGGGCCCTGTCCGTCTCATCTTTGTGAAAAAATTATCGATATCTCTACATAGACATGGATTGGACGGGCACTGTGCAAATGTGTAGGTTCTGCATACCTACAGAAAGTGAACGTCCACCTCACCATGGCCACAGCGCGCACACTGTATAGTTTTTTTCTGTTGTTTTTTTTTGTCTTGTCAGAACGTCCCTGGTACATGGTAAGACGGAGAGCCCGAACGCAGAACCTTTTTTAAATTATTTCACGGAGAAGGCGGAGAGCCAGAACGAAATCGAATATCGCTACAAGTACGATGTAGCGATATTCGATTTCGTTCAATTAGTAGTTTTAAACCTCTTGTAGCATGAAAGCTAACCTAAACGATCCACGGGGCCGGTTGATCTACGGTAGCACTTGTTTGCGTCACTAATTTTTTGCAATCGCCTGTCCCCGGGGGAAATCGCGATTCCGCGGCCGCGTTTTTTGTGATTTTTTAAAAGAGCGCGCTTTCCGCGATTTCCCCCGCGTTTGTTGAACTTTTTTGTTGCACTACACGTACACACAGTGCACTGTTCGGTCAGCAACGTCTCATCGTGGCGGCTTTGTACTCAAATATTATGACGACTGCTTACACCAGAGACTTGTAACTGATTGATTTCACTACATACTGAAAATTGCCTCATATCAACTGCAAACTTGCTGCATATCAATAATATTCACCGCAAATTCTGGGATTTTTCCGCGGACAGAATCTCTCAGAACCAGGGAGTAGTGGTATTGTACTACTCCCTGCTCAGAACCAGCAACTTTACGGTAGGAAATGTTCGCGGAGCACTGTGGCCTCACATATAAACCAGGGAGTCGTCAAATACCATCAAAATTATTTGACGACTCCCTGATATCAAGAGTACATAACCCCATTATGTGGGGTTATGTACTCTTGCTGATATCCACCCACAGTTGAGGTTTGATTTCACGACGGTTAATATTTGCGTTATGCTCTTCTCGCAAAATAAGCAAACATTTTAAAATATGTCTAAAACATTGGGCAGTTTACAGTTTGCTATACATGTACTGTATTATACAGGGAGTCGTAAAATACCGGTATTTTACGACTCCCTGGTATTAAACGAAATTTTAGAATACATACAATGTAGGTGGCTGTGTGGGGTGTTTATGGTACAAATTACGTCATTGTGCGATGGGCTTATTGCCAAACAGGTGACGGAAGTAAAATTGAGAATCAATAAATCAATGTCATCTCCCCTGGATCTGAGAAGGCTCACACACCACCACCATTACATCCCCCCCCCCCCCCTTCTGAAGCTTTAGGCTTCACAAGGTGCACACACGCAAACACAGACACAACACACTCGTAGCGCGAAGTTGGTCGACGGCCGTGGCACATCGGACAGGACTATGCTTATATGCAGACGGTAGGATATCAGCTCTTGTAAAACATGTATCACGCATCACCCACATCACGCATCACCCACACACACCCACCCACAGAATACAACGTAAGCGTACAATGTGCAAACAGCAAACACACACACACACAGAATAAGAACTGCACAGTGAAAACAGAGAATGCTAAAAAAATGTACAGAAAGATGAGAATCTGTAGAAGGAGAGAGCTCGGCATCGAGCAACGGCACACTAACAAACAATTACGTTATAGGCTGTGCTGGGCTATCCCAGAACTCCTATGCTTTCAAACACCAAAAAAACTGAACAGAAAAAAGGGAAATTCCCTCAACTTCAGAAAAGGGAAAGAAAGAAGCATTACAATCATAGAAGTCATGCGAGCAAAACCAGCTCATTGGATTTAGAATGATAGACTGCTTGCACTGCCCAAACAGGAAGAGTAATCCGAAAGCGATCGTCACCCCTGGTTACGATCAGCACCATCGCCATGGTGATAACACAGTCAGTACGTGCTTGAATAATATGAGAAGTAACAGTTTACTATGAGTACTACTAAGTACTAGGTTCAGCCTACATTGTACATTTCCACACTCTAGCGCTACACTCGATAGAGCATTATCATACACATTATCTATCCTGGGTACTGACTGGTGCTTATGCTGGGCGGGCATTGCTGGGCACTGAAGGGCGAGGGAAAGGGGGGGGGGGCAGAGTAGAGCAGAAAGCCTAGAGTCAGCACGAGAGCATCCCTCTGGCAGCGGCAGCAGATGAAAACACAAACATGGCGCGCGGGCGCACGCTACACTCGCGCACGCGCTTCGCGAGCAAAAACAAACACGCACACATGCCGTCCTGGTGCTGGTGGCAGCAGATGTTCAGACGATGAACTTGTCAACCGTGCCAGGCCCCAGTCCTGGCGTACGCGCAATTCGAAAAATTTACTACCAAAACAAACGGGAAAATTAGAAGAAGCGGCGAGACCGATGTAGCACATCTCACACACGAAAACCAGAACATTTCGGATTGGACCCAAGCAGTGCAGAAGGCGGCAGCGGCAATGGCGACGACGATGACAGTGGCATAGGCGTAAGCAGGCACCAACAATACAAGCGGAGATTGCGATTCATTTCCAGTAACTACAACCAGTTTCGGATGACGTTGTGCAGCCAAATGCGAGAACGAGCGACGCCAACAAACCAGAGCTGTGTGTTCATCATAGCGGTGCGGCCGCCATCGCCCCGATGATCAAAACAACAACAATAATAGGTACGGTGATGCTGAAGATAGGCAGCCGGCGGTGGTGGCAGCCAGGAAAGAGAGAGATTGGTCACGATAGCGAGCAACACGGCCGTCGTCCGGTGGGACAGAATACACACACACACACACCTACGCACACACACACACGCACAAGTAACAGCTATCGGCAATCCAGCCATCGTCATTGTCGTCAGCGCTGCTGTCCTGGCCCGAACGCCTCGTCGTCATCGTCACACACTTGGCCGGGTAGGAGTCAAACGTCAGTCTCCAGACCGTCAACGACCGTGTTGGCTCCCGGCTCTCCCCCGCCAGTGATTGTCTTCACGCTCAGCTGGCTGGCGGCCGACCGGCGGTTTGCAGCTGGCTCGCGTTTCGGCGAGGTCATGGCAAACGGGTCACTACTGCCACCGACGGCGTTGATGACAGACGGGCGTCTGTCCACCTGGCCTCGGAACGCGTTGACAACGCGAATCTGTGTCTGCACACGCCATAGTGAGCGCATCCACAGAATCCTGCAAGCGAGACGGGCAGAACAGAACCACGCAGAGCAAGAGAGAGAGAGAGAGAGAGAGAGAGAGAGAGAGAGAGAGAGAGAGAGAGAGAGAGAGAGAGAGAGAGAGAGAGAGAGAGAGGCATGCAGGCGGGGCGAGGAAAGAGAGATTCTCT